CCTAATTTAGAAGTGATAGACCATAGGGAAGGCATCTAGTCAACACAACCCACCGCCAGCTACTCTTTTACCAACGAATAATGGGATTGACCTTCACGTTATAACGCTCCCACGGGTGAGCATGTTCGATGACGGGGATTCAAGCCCGATACCCTTAACCAAAATCATATGACAGATTAAATTACCTGAACTGTATTTATAATGAAAATAATTATGGACCCTTAACAGTCGAATGAAGTATGAGTTAAATGGACTGACCGAGGCCCAATGACTAGCGTGGCAGATTGTGTATATGATATTCCATGGTTCGTGCTCCGCAGTTTAAGGCGGTGGGTGTGTTATAAGAGTAACGGTTAAATTTCACTTTTCAATCTGACAAGGGTAACCCAATTTTAGCGGTAAAGTTTCGTCAAAAACGTGAATAATTCTGTAGTCACGTGCTCTGTACAATAATATTTCAATACGCAGGGATGATAAATTTAAATCAGTATTTTGTTAAACGTTAAGACGGGTTGGGCGTAACCGGGTAGTTAACGAGCCCACACTGTGAATCCAAGTGTTTATGCTTCACATATCGTTGTTACAAAAGGCACTACGCACTTTGGAACCATGAGTGCGCTATAAGAGTGACGGTCAAATCCCATGATTAAGTCAGACAAAAGCATTGGCTGTTGAATAGTTTCCATTCCCCTAGATTCAAGTAAGTACAATAAAACTAAATACACAGATAGATTCAGACAGGTATTACAAGTAAGTACGATAAATGAAATAAACAAGGTTCGAACAGGTACATTGGATAGGGAAATAAAGGAAAGAACGCATAGATTCAGAAAGGACGTTTGGTTGGGAAATAAAGGAAATAATACATAGATTCAGACAGCTCCATTGGGTAGGGAAATAAAACAAAGATTCAGACAGGTCCATTGGGTAGATAAATAACGGAAAGAACACATAGATTCAGACAGGTAACTTGGGTAGGGAAATAAAGGAAAGAATACACAAATTCAGACAGGTACCTGAAGACAAGATAACAAGGTTTAAGGAATTAACTAGGCTTAAAGTCAGATCACACAAATAATTAAACGATCCTAAGACAAAGTAGCCAGATCTGGATACGTATTGTTTATACATTTGTGCTTTTGAACAAAGTTTTTCTTAATCAGTTTCCTTCTTCCGAAACTACTTTACTAACGCTACGTCACAGTAGCCCTTGTTTTTACCACCTTATTGATATATATTAACATATTCTTCTTTCACTCTAAAATTGTTAGGATTTATTACATACACCTTTCTTTTCCCGATCTTTTGCTCATGATAGTCCCCTTTTCTAATTCCTTTATTTTACAGGACTGTCCATGACGTAATGGTTGGTGTGCCAGATTGCGGATCGAATGATCTAAGGGTCGAGACGTAATGATGCTGAACACGTTCCGCACCTTCAGCAGTGGGTGCGTTATAAAACTGTCAATCCTGATATTCGGTTCAATAATGCCAGGGGTTAAAACTGTCAAAACAATTGTTGTCCATAGATGGTGTTGATTGACTGGAATTGAATGACAATTGAAAAATATTTGTTTGTTTCGAATTTCTAGCAAAGCTACACGAGGGCTATCTGCGCTAGCCGTCCCTAATTTAGCAGTGTAAGACTAGAGGGAAGGCAGCTAGTCATCATCACCCACCGCCAAATCTTGTACTACTCTTTTACCAACGAATAGTGGGATTGATGGTCACATTATAACGCCCTTACGGCTGAAAGGGCGAGCATGTTTGGTGCGACGGGGATTCGAACCCACGACCCTCAGATTGCGAGTCGAGCGTCCTAACCACCTGGCCATGCTGTGAAAAAATATGAAAAAGTTTGAAAGAAACTTATGTTTGTAACTCTCACAAAATTTATTTTTGGTTTTATCAATTGTAAAATGAATCTTTTACAGAAAGATACTACTGGGATATACATAATCTTTATGTTACTCCAGAACAGAAAATACTAATATGGCTTGAGACAACTACTTTACTACTGACCTAAAATTAAGATATTTCTATACTGAGTTATTAGTATTTGTCCCACTTCGTTTAGATCGATCCCACCGTTCACATGTTCCAGGAACCTCCTTTTTATTTCAGACATTATTAGGATTTCCAATACCGATTAAAATTGGCCAGGGATCCCCATAATACTGGAGGCTCCATTTGAAAGATTGGTTAAAAAAAGATACTTTCATGAAATGAAAACACAACTACGGTTTTGGGAAAAAGTAAAGAAATAGTTCGATGACGAGATACAAATAGGAAAAAATGCTTAAAATTCTTAATCAGCCTAACAGGGCTGATAATCTTATATATATATATTTGCTATTCTAGTCGGCTCGAGGTTTCAATCTGATATCAGGGTTAACTAAACGATGCGAATTTCGAACCCTGGTGTATACATGGTATACGTAATACTTTTCATTGATAAACCAAGGCATGCATAAAACGTATTCATAAAAATGTAATTACCACTTAGATCAGAACTAAAAACCAACCTATTGAGAAGTTTTAGATTAAGGACCGTTATATTTAAAATCTGGAAATTTATTCCCCAGTCGTTTAGCCCATGTGTCCCATAGGAAGGCGTTCTCATTGGAAATACAAAAAACAAACAAACAATAAATATGGCATTTATAATTAAAAGGTTTTTATAACATTTAAAAATTGTTATTATATTTTGATTTACAGAGGAAAAAAGTTTTAATTTTTCAAAAATATTTAGTACAGGATGTATTGTTCACGATTTAAAAGCGAGCAAAGACAAAAAAAAAAAAAGAAAAAGAAAAAGAGTCATATCTTGTTATTTTTAAAAAATGTTAAGAATTTATTTTTTAATTTCTATGTAAGGTGAGTCTTTGTTGACTATTAAATCTGAAATAAAGTTGTAAATAATCATTAACAGAATCATGTGAATTTCCAATCCTCAAACCTAACAAGTTTCCTTTAGAATTCGTGTAATTTATTTGCTGTAAATAAATTATGCCTAACTGGCCTTATGGAAATATGTCACGTTTGTAAATTCTGTTGACGATAATTCAGGGACACCAGAAATACAGCTTGCGTTTAGGGATTGTTTACAATATTCGTTTGTAAACAAATCGCAAAAAAAAGTGACAACTCTTATAATTCATATATTTCTCCAATAAAATAAAACAACTCACACTGTGACCACAGACGATATTTCACAAGACTTTTTACACCACAAAAAATATATAAAGGTTTGATACAACACTGTTATAATTTTAATAAACACTTCATCCCTTAATGTAAAGATGAACTGAGGGAGAGATTTTAAATCGAAGTTACGTTTACTGTTGAAAAAAACATTAAAAATACATTCTCTATTTTTCATCAAGCTCAGAAATTATACATATTTCAATTATTACGGTTTATGTATTTTTTTACACGAGCTTCCCTGTGTTGAGTTCATATATTATATATCTATAAAAATTCAGTTTAAACGTTAACTATCTTTTTCATCCAGTTTGTTTTCGTCAGTCCAGATATTGATAGGCCTAGAAAACTCAATACTATTTTCTAACAATAATCATTAAAACTTTCTTGACTATCAATACATCAACGAAAGACTAATATTTTAACAAAATATTTTTTGTAATTTATTGACAATTTATTCGGTGATAAAAAAAAAACTCTTAAATACATTACAGTTACTTCCGATACAACAATCGAGATACTTTAGATACAACAGTCCAGATACGTTAGGTACAACAACCTAGATATTTTATATGCAACAACCCATATACTTTAGATACATCAACCAGCCCAGATACTTTAGATACAATAATCCAGATACTTTAAAAACAACAGCCCAGATACGTTAGATACAACAATCCAGATACCTTAGATACACCAATCCAGATATTTTAGATACAACAATCCAGAACCTTAGATACAACAACCCAGATACTTTAGATACAACAACCCAGATACTTTAGATACAACAATCCAGATACTTTAGATAAAACCAGAACACCTTAGTTACAACAGAAGAAATAAATAGAGAAACTGAGAATAGAGAATCCCAATAAACAAGTGTCAATGCTTCAGAATGAATTAGATTTTCTTTTTAGACGAAACGATCTGCGATTCTTAACATATTCTCAATTTAATGGCGTTTCGTCTTTAAGTCTTTCTGAAGATCTTAATAAGCATAACGAATATCATTCATAGTTTAACTCATAAACAACTGAATTCTTAAATGTACGTTCTCATTCCAGGTTGTTGTTGTTTAACAACTTAGGTGAAAAATGTTTTATCATCATCCTACTGTAAGAGAAGGACATTACGCCTCGTTAGGTCTTTGATAAATCTATCCTAAAATTACTCTCATACATATGTATAGTTATTCATAAGCCACACTTTTTTTTCCTGAGGAACCAGTTGCCCAAATGGATGTTGATGTTTCTGCACCCATTCAATCCGAAGATTGTCAACCTGGATCATCAACATCAGACAGTTCTATCCTACCCTCGGATGATATCCTACAGTCAGATCCTGCCTTATGGAAAGTGGATAGGAATTTCCAAGAAGAAATTGTAAAAAAGCCAATTGAGCAAAACATCTATAAGCAGGACTTACCAAGTCTTTGTTTGAAAGAACTAAGGTAAATGGTGAGAAAGTAAATAGAGAATGGCTAGTTTATTCTCTGTCTACTGGGTGTGTGTATTATGCTCCTTGCAAAGTGTTTTGCCAAAAGAATGAAGATAAAGCATTCGTAAATGGTTTCAGTGATTGGAAAAATTCCTATAGCAGGGTTAGGACGCATGAGAACAGTTCTGGGCAAAAAAACTGCATCAGAATTTGGCATGTCAGAGCATCAGATGAGCATAGAATTGACCAAGATCTTGTTAGGGAGTTAGAGGAGGAAAAGAAGTGCTGGCAAGCAGTTTTGAGACGTGTTGTTGAAGTAATAAAGTTTATTGCAGCAAGGGGCCTAGCCATTCGTGGGAATGATGAAAAATTTGAGGTCAGATAAGACTGGTAATTATTTAGGTATACTTGAGTTGCTAGCCAAGTTTGACCCTTTTCTAGCTCAACACACCCAAAAGTATGCAGGGGCAGGCAAAGGTTCCACATCTTACTTGTCAAAAACCATATGCGAGAAACTTATGAAAATGATGGCAAAACAACTGTTAATGGAAATTGTTTCCGTAATCAAACAAGCAAAATACTTCTCCACTAGCGTTGATTCAACCCCTGACATTAGTCACGTGGATCAACTGACTTTCACAGTCAGGTATGTGGGATCACACGGAAGACCAATTGAGAGATTTATCAATTTTGTTGAGGTCCATTCACATAAAGCAGAAAATTTTGCCAATGTAGTGAAAGACGTCATAACTGAAAATCTAGATATTAGTAACCTTCGTAGGCAAAGTTATGACAATGCCTCTAATATGGCTGGTGCATATTCAGGTTTACAGGCCAGAATCGAAGAACTAAACAAACTTGCCCATTTTGTGCCATGTGCTGCTCATTCAATAAATCTTGTTGGGGCCTCATCAACGGACAGTTGTCTTGATGCAATAACTTTCTTTAATTTCCTGCAAAACCTGTACACATTCTTTTCATCCTCCACACACAGATGGGACTGTTTAGTTCAGGCTATAGAGAAAGGAGGTCTAGTGGTCAAGTCTTTGTCAAACACTCGTTGGAGAGCCAGAGATGATGCAGTTAAAGCTGTTAGAAACCATTATTGCGAAACCACGAATCCTCTCCTTAAAATTAGCAAAGATAGAACCCAGACAATGACTACAAGGGCTGAGGAGGGAGGCCTGATCAAACAAATGGAGTCTTTCGAAACTGCTCTGATGACAGTTATATGGATCACTATATTAGAACGATTCAATGTAACTAACATAGCTTTGCAAAGTCCCACAATTGACCTTCTCACTGTAGCCAATCTGTACAAGTTCCTTTTAACATTTGTACAAAACTGAGAGACAATTCTGTACAAACAGAAGCCACTTTTGCCAAAGATTCCTCATATAAAACTACACAGAAACGTGTTAAACGTCAGAAATGTATTTTTATGAAAGTCCAACAACTGCAGCACAGTTCTCTCATAAAGATCAATTCAGAATTGGAACTTTCTATTGTGTGTATGTGTGACAGTCTTATTGCAGAATTAAACAAAATATTTGAAGCTTATTCTAAATTACAGGAACTATTTGGTTTTCTCACAGAATGTCCCTCCATGACTTCAGATCAATTGCAGAGTCAGATCTTAGACCTTGTACAAGTTTATCCCAAAGACCTGGAATCTGTTTTAGTGGAATAATTCTGTCAATTCACGGAGCTGTTAGGGGATGATAAATCAATACAGCATGTGAGTGATTTACTAAAACCAAATAGTTTACTGTTTTCAACATTCCCAAATGTGGCAACAGCAGTTCGAAGATACTTAACTATTCCAGTCAACAATTGTGAAGGAGAAAGGTCATTTTCAACATTGAGTACGGTCAACAATGGACCAAGATAGGTTAGGCGCCCTTGCACTGATGTGCACTGAATGTGAGACGCTCAAAAAGCTAGACTTTAATGACCTTGTTAAGTCAAAAGCAGAAAGAGGGACTTCTAAGTCTGTAAAACTTTCTATAGGTAATAAGAATATTTCCACACATTTATTTCAGTAGACATTATTTAGGTTAAATATTGCAGATATGCATTATTGCATTTCATGTATTATATATCCCCGAAGTTATCCTGAAATGCGTTTTATGTTTGGTTAACATGTCCTTAAGATTAATTTTGACTTATAGACACAGAGCTGAGACAACATATGATAATGATAGGCCTATGTATTTGTCAACTAAGTCAGATTATTATATTCAGATTTATGTATTAGTATGTTAAATGTACAATGTATATTTATGTTTATGTAATTTGAATGGCTTATCAGTTGAAATATAATGCTATGAGTTCTGGATCATTGTTAAATAAAATACAAAGTTGAATTTCTAATTATTCTATTTCTTTCACAATATACATTCAGGTTCACCAACCTCTCCCCTTGACAACAAGAAAAAAACAAAAACAACTACGTATATCTATCTACACTCTATTGGGTTTGGGAGGGGGAGGGCCCCCATTCAGGTTAATCCGGCATTGATTGGCACACTGACAGGAATACGACACCGAGGAAACGACTGCTTGCTTGTACAAACGTTATATCTATCATAATCGACTATCTGTCAGCGCAGAATGCGAAACTGTCGGATTTGGGTTCAGACTCTCTCAATACTGTATGTTCTGAGAAGCGAGGTTTATATTTTTTGTGCACCGTAAAACTTGAGTTTTGAAGATCGATTTTAGTTTCGAAGGTGATTGTTTTAGGTAATATTTAAACCGTGAGAAACTACCTCATATTTACTGTTTGTTTTTGTTAAAACAATTCTAGCAAGGAATTATCTCACAGCATTATCTATAAGCATAAATAAAGAAAATAACTACATCATTTACAGGTTAACTAAATAGTAGTGGTACAGATTATGCCGTAACTATAGGGTAAATAAACAGTAATAGTTCATATTATATCCATAATGTTAGGTTTATTTGTTTCAGCGCTAACTACATAATGGGTTATTTGCGCTTTGAAAAGAAAATCAAGGTTGAAACACGGTCATAGAACAAGATCTCAATGAACATTTTGTTTTAAAAAATGTATATCTTAATAAATACTATTTAACGTTCGTACGTGATGAGTTTGGGGCAGAGGTTCAGCGCTGCCATAGTGCACTTGAGAGCTGCTCCAATTTTATATAAATAAGTTATTTAGCCTACATCCAAAATTAATTGCCTTTCAGAATGTCAGAGACAACTCTGGTTGTATGTAATCCCCCTTATCCACTGGTAGAGCTTTCTCAGACCGCCAATCACACAAATTGGCACTTTCCCTCAGGAGCTGGTGTCAGGCACCATACGAACGCTCTGGCTCAAAAGCAGGTGTTAGAGCGAGAAAATGGCGAAATGTTTTTTTTTGTTATACGTCACGTGGTTATTAAGACACACGAATATGTTATGAAAGTACTTAATAAAATGCATTTTATAATTATACTATGCTTAAAACATATTTTTAAAAGGTTTATTATTTACATAATATACAAGGAAGCTAGTTTTTTAAATAATTATTCGTCTTGGCAGGAAAGGTGGTATGCAAAGCGTTAAATAAGTCAAGCTTTTAATACTGTAGGAGAGATTCCGGCACTATAAAGTTTAGCACTACAGCATTGGTTTTAGGTACTAACAATGACGTCTAAAGTAACAAACAGAAACGTTTGTGATTTGTTCATTTCTGGAAATATTGAAAGTTTAAATGTTATTTTCAGAAAAACGTGGTTCAACGTTTTCCATGCATTAAGACGGACGATATCGTCCTTTTAACAGGTTCATTGCATTTGGATATTACACAAGTGCTATGCTTGGACACTTGCTTATTTTCTCATTTTTGTAAACTCTATGAATTTAACCGCGATATTAATTTTATAGCTGTTTTAGTTTTAATGCTGAAGGCATGGAAACAATGCTCAAATAGGAAACGGGAGCTTTTTGAGGATCTATTTTATATGGGGGAAAAAGGCAATTTGGGTTTACAGCGCCTCATATTCAAAACCTTGACACTAAATACGATATATTACTTGACAAATGAAACAACAACCAACACACGTATATATATATATAATAATAATAATAATATGTGTATATAGTATACTGACATTAAATATTTTTTCCAATATACAAACATTTATCAATATTTTAACGATAACTTTAAGACTTTGCTACCTCCATCTCATGAGCTTTTGAACAATAAGGAAATATTATTACTAAATGTATTGTTCATATACCATTCGATTGTTATTTCTATTAAGATAAATTGTTATTTCTCCATTTTTTTCCCAAAACATACACGAATAGCGGAAAAATACGTTAGACGAAACACACATAAAAAAAAATTATACGCGCAAAAATATTATTTGTAACATCTAAAAGGACGAGATATGACTTCATATTAACTTACTCCAAATACAATATAAACCAACATCAAACTTTACGTACGATTTTTCTAAAGTCTTGCACTATGACCAGTCGTATATTATCCACCATCAGATTAATATTCAAACACGTTCAACAGTTTTTTCCAAACAGTCTGATTTAAAAACTAAATATTTGATCGAACGAAATAAGTTAGAGCAAAAATGAAGTTGGACATTAACATTCTAAGAAAACAGATAAAAAATTAAACGTTTAACACTCTAAAAAACATACGAAACACGTATAATTCACCAGATGACAAGAGTAATGATCACACCAACAGATCAGATGATACAACATGTTAGGTCTCATGTTATATTCATATAACATACATTAACATTATAATACAGCACATAAGGTATTAAAGTACCAACAGATCAGAAGATACAACATGTCAGCAGGCCTTGTGTTATATTAACATTATAACATAGCACATAAGTTATTAACGTACCAACAGATCAGAAGATACAACATGTCAGCAGGCCTTGTGTTATATTAACATTATAACATAGCACATAAGTTATTAACGTACCAACAGATCAGAAGATACAACATGTCA